GTCTGAACGCCCAGAAATGTTTGACCATCCTCCTTTCTACCTGAACGTTTTTTATGGATGAGCTCTAAGTAAATAAATAAGAAAGGGAATAAAAAAAATATCTAAAACTAGTAAAAAAAATATTGAACTCTATAATAATGAAAAATTATAACATAAGTCATTGATTCCGATGCCCGGATCCGTGAATTTCCATTGGAAATATGTTGTATCCGGCTGGAAAATAGTACGAATTTGAAAGCAACAATTCAATGAATAGCTTTGCTCTGTTACGGTCAATTACAAACGGAACTAAAACGTCTTCGCCATCGTATTTAATCATTGAATTCGTGCTTCCAAATACATACGACATATTTTCCAGAATGTTCTAGTCGTACTTCAATCACGCAGAGAATAGGATGTGACATTTCATGAATAATATTAGATGATGATTATAAGAAAATATTATTGCTAATAAGAATTATTCAAATAAATATTGATTAAAAAACATTATACCATTAATCAATACAAATATTTGTATGAAAACAAACAGCTTTTATTTTTTCTTTAATGAATGTTAAACAAGACAATACTCATATATACGTATAGTAATATTATTTTTCTAAAATATAATTTTGATAATCAAAATTTTTCATTAATAAATGATAAATCCATGTAAAATCTGGCCATATTGTTGTAACAATACCTTTTGCATTTTGATGCCATGAATGACAACCACCTAAATGCCATACTGTCTTATTTAATTTCGATTGTATCCATTGATTATATGCGTCATGCACATTTTGTTTTATTGAAAATGATCGTATATTATTCTTATCAATATAAAGAAGAATTTCGACTATATATTTTAATTGAGCTTCAAGCATGATTATTACAGATGAATGACTAATACGAGAATTAGGTCCAAGAAGAACATAGATGTCATAATACCATTACACTGGGTATCGAAAGCTAAACGTCAGAATACCGTACAGAGAGGAGTAAAGACCTCATTACCCTACAAATAAACTATGTATGTTCAAAGTTGAGGAATTTGAGTGAACTTGGTGTAACGACCTCATTACCCCAAAAATAAACTATGTATATTCAAAGTTGAGGAATTTGAGTGAATTTGGTGTATCGACCTCATTACCCTACAAATAAACTATATATCATTAAAGTTGAGGAATTTGAGTGAATTTGGTGTAACGACCTCATTATCCCAAAAATGAACTATATATCTTTAAAGTTGAGGAAGTTGGGTGTGGGTGTGGGTGGGTGGGGGTGTGGGTGTGCGTGTGGGGTGTGGGTGTGGGTAAGTAGATTAAACAAACACCAACACCCACCCCACATCCAAATCCACACCCACCCACACCCACACCCACCCACACCCACACTCACACCCACACCCAAGTTACATTTCGTATGTCATTACTCGTGGGGTAATACCCCAAATTCACTCAAATTCCTCAACTTTTATTACATATAGTTACATTTCGTATGTCATTACTCCTGGGGTAATACCCCAAATTCACTCAAATTCCTCAACTTTTATATCATGTGTTTAGAAGAAAATCCGGATACCGGGTGTAACGGGATTATGACATCACTCAAGAAGAATAAACAAATTTGGAAAATTAGGCACAGTTATACCACGATATGCCTTAAAAAATAAACGCATCATTCACATATATACAGTAAAACCTCTCTTGAGTGAATACCATCAGGACTTTTAAAAAGTGTTCGGTTTTGAGAGGTGTTCATCTATGGAAGATGTAATATATTCTACCAAAAAAATGAAATAAATTTTGTAGAAGATGAGTTTCTTTTCTAGTTCTTAAACAATTAGATATCACTTTCTGTTTTGTTCATATTGTTTCATTTAAATTTATTCAAATCCAAAAACTTTTCAAAAAGACAAAAAATAGCTCTATTTTAAAAAGTCTCCTATAGCTGTTTGTGTTTATTTTATTGAATCAAAACTTTTGCATTATTATTTTATATTTTGATTCTGATTTGTTTGATAATCATAAAAATATTCTTTTTTTCTTGTTACTAACAGTCAGTTTTAGCACATTATTCAGAATCGATTGAGAAAAAAGAGAAAAAAAAATTCACATGTACAGTCGGAGATAAAAGATTAAGTGAAATTAGTTTTTCAGTATTTTTTTTTTCATATTATGAGGTACGGATCTGATTCAAATGGTGATATAGATAGTATGAGAGGCCAGCTACATGATATATTATAGAACGAGACTCTATCTGCCTATATAGATTTTTCATAATTAAAATATTTTTTTTCCATGCAAAAATTGGTTTTAATTGCTTTCCAGTATTTCGCATTTCCAAACCCAAGAGAGTTTTTTTGAAATGAAAAAAAAAATATATCAATCAATAGAGAATTTCACGCTCTATCAGTTTATAAAAAGAATTCCGTTCCTAGAGTTGATCTTCGCCTCAAAAATCTGATTTTAGTGAGAACAGTCAGCAAAAAAATGGACTTTTCTCCCGTTAATATAATTAAAAAAGAAAAGATAGTTGCGTGTCTCAAAACTTTATTTCAGAAAGACGGGCGCGAAAAATCGTTGATATTTGAACTTCAAATACAAGATTTTGTTCAGTTTTGAATGCTCTTTCCAATAATGTACAAAACATTGTGATAAGAGGGAGTTTGTAGAATTTGGTAAAAGCTGATTTTACCTTTTCGGTTTTTACTGACTATTCTCACTAAAACCAGGTTTTGGAGGTGAAGATCAACTCTGGGAAAAAATCTTTTTTTTATAAACTGATAAAGCATGAAATTCTCTATCGATTGATATATTTTTTTTCATTTCAAAAAACTCTCTTGGTTAGGAAATGCGAAATACTGAAAAGCACTTAAATCTATTTTTGCATGGAAAAAAACTATTTTAATTATGAAAAATCTATATAGGCAGATAGAGTCTCGTTCTATAGTACATAATGTAGCTGGCCTCTCATACTATCTATATTATCATTTGAATCAGATCCATACCTCATAATATAAAAAAAATACTGAAAAACTAATTTCACTTAAACTTTTGGTCCCCGACTGTATTCATCTAAGAGAGGTGCAAGTAGTGGTCGGGACTGTAAAAACAGTGTTCATATTCAGAGTAGGAAAGTGTTCACTTATAGGGGTTTTACTATATATATGAGTGTGTTACAACATTTTGGTACGATTGACGCGAAAAACTAAAAGTAGACTTAAATATTTTCTGAGTAATATTTTTTATTATATTCTATGCCTATATTACACAGCAAAAATTTACCCACACTTTACCGCATAATTAGCCGACTTACGCCTTATTTCAGTGTAAATATAATGTGAAGAATGGAAAAATCGGTTATAATGCATCGAAATGCTACATATGAAACTGCTTTTTAATCCATAATCGACATTTGAAATATAAATAGAATAACTTTCTGAAATGAAATGAGGCTAATTATATAAGATGCAATCTATGCCGATTTACTAGTACTTGAAATATCATATGAAAAATGTCGTTCTATAGGCTGCAGTAATCCATTTAAACTCTATGTAATAAAATTAACTATTTATTTTAACCTAGTTTTAGTTGATCTATCACATAAAAAAACGTTACTCTACATGTTTTTTTCAAAAAGCTTGTTATCGTAATTCCTGTGGAGATTCAAATACAAAACACAATGTCTTTAATAACAAAGAAATTATTTTATTCTATCTATTTTGGGATACATTCCTTCACTATCGTTTTAGCTAACCCTTCAGAAATGTGCCTCATAAGGAAGCAATACCCATTTAAAAAAAAGGCGGGGGAAGGGAATCTTTTCAATAACTTTGGATAGAAACAAGATAGAGAGCTACGATTTTCATCTTTAGAAAGAGGAGATGAAGACGCATGAAATAATATATTACATGTTGTTGTAAGATTTTCAATCGACCTTTTTGAAAGCCAATGTATCCTTTGAAGTAACTATAGAGAATTTTCAATTACCATATGTGCATTCGAGTCGTCAATGAAAGATCTATAAAACTATACACGCCTCAGATTTTTAGATTTAGTTATTCACAAATCGTAGATATTCTAATCAAAATTCTCGGCCGATTTTTCAAGCAACTGCTGTAAAAAAAAAAAAAAAACACATTTTTGCTTTTTTTCGTAGGTTAAAAGAAACCATTTTTTCGACATATTTTTATAAATTTGATTAAAAACAACTTCAGAAAACATCTTAGAAGAACCTATAATATATGATTCGATGCGAGTTCATCTCCTTTTTTCAATGGTAAAAAAAAGCAGCGCTCTATCTTATTCCTATAAAAAGTTATTCAAAAAATATTCACCTGCTTTTTTTTGAAATGGGGATTAGTTTATATATTATAATGAGATGTCATGGATATACGGTCTTTGATCTTAAAGTTTATGAAAAAAAGTTTAACAACAACGTATTTTCTCTATAATATTAATCAATCAACTCAAATTCAGATGATAATTTTAATAGTTAATGGACTATTCTATCTAATGCATTTTATACCAAGATTTCATATGTTAAGGTGTCTAAAAA